AATAAATGTAAAAACTGCAAATTTCAATTTGATATGCATGAAAATATTCTAATCATAATAAATTTGATTAGAACTGCTACCTAAAATATCTCTGAATTATTTTCAGGGTTATTAAATGCACTAGTTACTTATTATTTATTTCTGTTCATTAATCTATTGTATTTAAAGCGTAACTAAATATTATTAGTATTTAATATAAAAAATTATGGCATATATAACTTTAAAATAATATATTTAAACCTGTTGTTGTTCATGAAAGTTATTAATTTCTTCGTACAGTTTTTGTTGGACTTCTAGATGTTTAGCAATACTATACAAACACATGGATAGAGTGGTTGCAGTGGTCTCATACCCGGCCACGAAAAACACCACACATTGGGCTATGAGCTCATCGTATGAAAGGCCTATAAATATGTATAAAACCATATTAATTAAACTATATACTATACATTATAAAATAAATCCAATAATCGTTTATAGACTAATTAATACTCACTTTTATCTGTCGTATCATCCGTGGCCTGTATTTCCCGATATTTCTCTGCACTCTTACTATCCGTATATTCTTCGGACCCATCGATCGCCTCATTATTATTATCTTTATTTGAATCCAACATTAGTTGCAAAAAGTCGGCCTTTTTTACTGAACTTTCGGTTTCCAAAAGACGTTTCCTATCGTCGATCAAATTAAGAGTAAAATCGCGGAAAAATATCGAAACTTTGTGATTAAACAGAGTTATCTTGAACATTTTAGCCACTTTTGGTGCAATCATTACTGTGGTCATTCTCATCAGGGAAACTAAACTTGTGCTGAACATATTGCGCGCATTTTCTATGATAGGGTTATTTGGGTCGACCAGAGCCGACACTTTCCGGCCGAAAGCCACTTGTATTATAGACTCCATAACATAGGCTCCGGTAATCCGTTTCATGTCTACCGGTTCCGAGAGATTGCCATTACTTTTGGCGATGATTTTGTCGATGTTGTCGTTCATAGTGTCCACGCATTCAAGGATTAAAGGAGTCATTCGTTTGAGTTTTCCGGTCGTAAATGTGGGCGACATTATTGAACGGATCCGTTTCCACTCGGTATCCTTCTTAAAGCCAACCATATGTTCAAATATAGGGTCACCGCCCGTACGGAACTCCTAATGTATATAATATTATTGTATTAAGAATAAAAAGTATTTTAGTATTACTATTATATTTAGCAGTTTTACAAACTATATTAAAATGTTATGTTTCAATGTTAATAAAATAAAGCTTTTAAATTACATATAAGAGATTTTAAGGATTTTGTTATACAAACTGTAAAAATTTATTTCCTTAATATATATTTATACGATTTAATTTAATTTTTAAATATTGGTTTACTTACAAGCATTTTAATTAATTTGTGAACATAATCCGGTTAATCTATTATTATTCA